AGAAAAATGAATAAAATATATTCAGAATGGTAGGGAAAAGGTAAAATTGTCATTATATGCACGTGACATAATACTCCATATACAAAACACCAAAGACTTCACACCAAAATATTAGAACTTACAAATGAATTCAGCAAAGTAGCAGGATACAAGATTAACATATGGAAATCAGTTGCATTTATTTATACTAACAGTCATATATCAGAAAGGGGATTTAAAATTTAAAAAAAGCTTTTAATAATGAACCAGAAAAGTAAAATACCTAGGAAAAAACATGACCAAGGAGGTGAAACACTTACATGCTGATAAATATAAAACATTAATAAAGGAAATTAAATAAAATTAAAAAAAAAAAAAAAAGGCATCCTATGCTCTTGGATTGGAAGAATTTTGTTAAAATGCCCATACTACCCAAAGCAATATACAGATTTAATGCAATGTCTATCAACATATTCATGATAGTTTTCCCGGAATTATAACAAATAATTCTAAAATTCATATAGAAACATAAAAGACAAAGAATTGCCAAAACAATCCTGAGGGCAAAGAACAAAGCAGGAGGCATAACCTTCAGACAATACTACTTAGCCACAGTAAATCAGCATGGTACTGGCACAAAGACAGACATTCAGGTCTATGGAATAGAATAGACAGCTCAGCAATAAACTCACATGCCTATGGACAATTAATCTTTGATAAAGGAAACAAGAATATTCAATGGGAAAAATGCAGTCTTTTTAGCAAACGGTATTAGGAATCTTGGACAGCCACTTGTAAATCAATGAAGTCAGAACATATCCTCACACTATACGCAAAAGTAAACTCAAAATACCTTAAAATTTAAATATAAGACAAGACACCATAAAATTCCTAGAAGAAGCAAAACATTCTCTGATTTAAAGCATACAATGTTTTCTTAGTTCACTTTTCCAAGGCAATGGAAATAAAAGCAAAAATAAACAAATGGAATCTAATGAAACTTACAGGATTTTCCACAGTAAAGGAAACCAAAACAAAACATAAAAATGAACTATGGACTTGGACAAGATATTTGCAATTGATGCCACTGACAGGGCTTAATTTCCAAGAGATACAAACATGCCCTGTAATTCAATAACAAAAACCAAACAACCCAACCAAAACATGAGCAGAAGATCTAAACAGACATTCCTCCAAAGAAGATATATACAGATGGCCAATGGGAACATGAAAAGGTGCTCATCATCATGAATTATTAGAGAAATGAAAATCCAAACAACAAATGGTACCACCTCACATCAGTTGTAAAGGACATCATTAAAAATCTACAAATAATAAATCCTGGAGAGAGTGTGGAGAAGAAGGAACGTCTTAACAGTGTTGGTGGCAATGTAATTTGATTCAGTCATGGAAGAAATTATGGAAGTCATCAAAAAGCTAAAAATAGATTTGCCATATGATCCAGCAACCCCACTCCTGCGCATATAATCAGTAAAACTATAATTCAAAAAGATATGTTATGTGTGTTCATAAAAGCACAATTTACGATAGTCAAGACATGAAAACAATGTAAATGTCCACCAACAGATGAAAGGATAAAGAAGATGTGGGGTGTGTGTGTGTGTGTGTGTATATATCTCACTGAACCATTATAAAGAATGACATAGTGCCATTTGCAGCAACATGAATGGACCTAGAGAATATCAAACTAAGTGAAGTTCAATCAGAAAGAGAAAGACAAATACCATATGTTATCATTTATATACGGAATCTAAAGTATGACACAAACGAGCATGTTTATGAAACAAAAACAGACTAACAGGTATAAAGAACAGACCTGTGGTTGCCTGGGGGAGATGGAGAGGGGGTGTGAAGGATTTGGAGCTTGGGGCTCACAGATGCAAACTTTTACATATAAGATGGGTAAACAACAAAATCCTACTGTATAGCCCAGGAACTATATTCAATATTCCGTGATGAATTAAACCATAATGGAAAAGAATATGGAAAAGACTATGGAAAAGAAGATATGTATATCTATAACTGAGTCACTTTACTAAACAGCAAAATGTAATACAACATTGTAAATCAAATGTACTTCAATAAAAAGTTTTAAAAAGAGAATAAATATATCATGTACTGCAATTAGGTTATTTGTGGATTTTAGCATTACATGCCAATTACATTTTCTTCACATTTTATAATTTTTCTTAATGAATTTGAATTATTTTTATAGTTATAAAAATTCACTTATTTTTTCAAAGACAAAATGAAGTTGTGAATATGTTTGCTGAGGGCCTCTTTCAGAGGAAACCATTCTTTGATGCAAGAATTTGGATGGGGTTGCTAAACACCTGAAAAGAACATTTTGTTGATGGACAAGGAAAGCTGTCATCCCACAATTTGTCCTCTGGTGTTCTGGCATTTCTCAGTCCTGCTATGAAGGGAGTGTTTAAAGAAAGTTGTCATAATAGTTCATTCTTGGGTATTCACATAAATCACATTGTTTTATTTTTTCTCTTCTTTGAGGGCTTTCTTTTTTCTTTTCTGTAATAGTACAGGACTGAAGTCGCTAAGGGCTAAAATTATCAATACATTCATGAGGGATGGGAACTAGTTCCAGGAAGCAGTTTGTCTTCATTCATCCAGATAACCAAAGCTAATCCATGTGAAGTTGGGGAGATCATAATCTCTATACGTAGCTATCCTTTTTGCTCACTGCGTATAGAAAATGGGGCTGCAGTATTCCTGAACAGAAGTTTTCTTCCCAAGCTAACTAAAACATGTGTGGGTGTAGATGTGTGCTGGGTGTAAAGCCTCATCCTCTTCCCATCTGTGAACCTGATGGGAGGAGAAGGAGGAGAAGGAGGACTTTTCTGTTGAGTCCTGCCCTTCCTGTGGGGCATCCATGGCACAGCACACATGGGGGTCAGACCTACCAGCTTCTTGTTTGCTGGTTGGAAACACTTGGTATAATGCCACATACTCTTAGAGCTGAAACATCCTTATGAATTCAGTTTCAATTTTACTTCCCATTTTCTGCCAGGTACTTTCACAAACATCTAAGATTCCTAAACTGACAATTACTGTCATGCCACCTAGGTCAGGAGACCCCTAAAGCCTCAGGATCTCTAGAAAGATTTCCACGTTTACACCTTGACTTCACATAAGTTCTTGGAAGTGCTTAAGAACCTGGGTTCATTCACCTTTGGTTAGCTGCTGGACTCCGTTAACACCTGGAAGTATAGGTACAAGTAAAAGGTTCATTTTTGTTTGTTTTGTTTGTTTGCTTTTGTACTGGAATTAGTCATTAGTTTAATCTTAAGAAAGAACCCTTTGGCAAGAGGGTTAGGAATTGTACAATAAACCTTTTGGCAGTGGGGCTAGGAAATAGTTGCCATTGTATAGAGATTGAAGTGTATCCACTCCAGCCTGCATCCTCACAGAATATGGCTTAACATGAAAACAAGGAAAATCTCTTGTACTTAGAAATCTAGAAATGATCTTTTTTTCTGAATAAAAAGGACTAGTATGGTTTGAGGCTGGTGTTTCTTCCCCCATTTTGTTCTTCTTCTTCTTTTTTAACATTTTTCATTGGAGGATAATTGCTTTACAATGTGGTGTTGGTTTCTGCAACACAACAGCATGAATCAGCCTTAAGTATACATATATCCCCTCTCTCTTGTACCTCTCCTTCATCCCTCCCCTGTTTCATCCCACCCTTCCAGGTTGTCACAGAGGACTAGGCTGAGCTCCCTGTGTTATATAACAGCTTCTGCTAGCTTTCTGTTTCATATGTTAATGGATATGTTGCAATGCTACCCTCTCAATTTGCCCCACCCTCTCCTTTTCTGCTGGATCCACAAATCTGTTCTGTATCTACATGTATCCCTTTTTCATTCTTTTATACACAAGTTTTATAGAAAAAAAAAGCAGTTGCTGAAAAATTTCACCTTGGAATTGGTAAAACAATAATGTTTTGGGTTTCATTATGGCCCTTGGTTATCTAAAACAGTCTAAACTCTGCCTATGTGACATTTCCACATGAGTATTTAATAACTCAACTCAACATGCTCAACACTTCAAACTCGACATGCTCAAAGTAGAACTCTTGGTCAGCCCACAGATCGCCACCTCTGCAAGCTTTCTCTCTCTCAGATCTCCCATCTACCTTGTTCTTTAAGCTCATGTTACAAGATTTGTTCTAGCTATCTCTGTCTCTACAGCCAACCTGTCAGCAATAATCTGTTGACATTACTTCCAAAATGTTTCCCTAAATTACTGACTTCTCCCCATCAGTATCATTACCTCTTGGGCCAATCATCAACCTCTCTTCTCTGGATCATTGTACTGGTCTTACCCATCTCCTTACTCATTTATGATCTATTTTCTACCAAGAAGCAAGAACTATTTAAAAAAAATCATTTTCCTATTTTAAGTTATTGACTGGCTTTCCATAGCTATTAGAATAAAATTTTTTTGCCCATTGCCTTGGTTCACAAAGCCCTTTGGACCCAGCCCCCACTACCTCTCTGACCTCAGCTCCTATCACTTTTCTCCATCACAGTTCTCTGGTCTGCCTGACTTTCTGTTCTCTGAGTAAGAAAATCCATCAGTCTGTGGGCCCTCTCCCTACCAGAAATGGGTTTTTCTCATCTTCCCATGGCCAGCTCCTTCTAATACTCAGAACAAACTCTTATGATGTACCCTCATAGAGTCATTCCCTAAACACCTGATGATATACAACAAACCACCAGCCCGCCAAAACTAGACACCATTTATCACATAACCTTCTTTTATCCTACTTAAATTACCTGGGTAGCTAATCACCAGCACCTGTGGCAAAGAACAAATAGAACTATGACAGCAAGATCAGCAAGGTCTTCACCTGTTTTCACCATTGCATTACCAGGACTGCAGAGATGTTCAGTAGTGATGCAGCACAAGCAACTATTTGTCATATGCTGTGTAATAGCAACTTGGGAATCAATAGTTTGTTTCTCCCTGTTCTCGTTTTACAGCCGACTGGACTTTATGAATATAAGCTCATTGGTACTCTGAGAGCTCCACCAGATCTACTTGCAGATATCTGTATGGATTTAGGCTATATAAGACGGCAGATCCCACAGGTTACAGGTGAGCAACATATATTCCTTTTAAAAAATCAATTAGAAGGTAGAATCTATTGCTATTTTATCTAACCAACAGAGATCAATAAGTTTAGTTTCTATCATACTATGTTTCATTTTAAATTTTGGCTTAAATATCTGAGGTGCTGGGCTGAAATATGCCTTCAATATTTCTAGGACTTCCTTTTTATACTTTAATAGATTCACACTCCTGTTTGAACTTACTACAAGTTTGTTGTCTTGTATATATATATGAGATGTATAAACCTGGAAGAACATGGAAGGCTTCTTGGAGGAGGTGGTTTTTGAGCTTTGTTTTAAAAATTGAATCAAAATTTTATAAACACCAAGAATATATACACATGGTGAAGTGAAAAGTGAAGGATGAGTGGGTTAAGGACATTTGATCCAGGGAACAGTATGAGTAAAATGAGGAAGGCATGAAACAACATGATTTTTTTTTTTTAATCTGTGAGCAGTTGGGTGTTTTTGGGTTGCTGGGGTAGCAGAATCTGGAATTAGCCTGGGAGGAGAGTCCAGGGACCCAAGGGCCTAGGCTGGCCACCTGACTACACTTCTTAGATTTTTCCCTAGAAATGATGGAGAGTTATGAGTGGCATTAGATAGGGGATCTTTCTGGATTTAGAGTGGGGAGTGGTCTCTGCTGTCCCAGGCACAGTAGAATAGATACAGCTAGCCCAGGGGCCGGAAACCCTGCCAGGCACTTGCTGTGGTTAGGAATCTTGGTTGCAAGGAAGAAGAGCTAACAAATTGCAGTGTAATGTAGGGAAAAAGTGTTCATTGGTTTGTGATGTTGAAACTCCATGGGTGTCTGGTTTCCAGGATAGCTGCACACAATACTTCGTTTCTCCAGCCTGACTCGGTTTTCTTCTGAATTGACCACATTCTCAGGCAGACTCTGTGTCTGCATCACCAGGAGATGCAGGCTTACATTCTAACCAAGTACACAGCCCCAGAGGAACAGGAACTTTCCTACTGATGGCATCCAGAGCCTCAGGATTGGCTCTTATCACCTCAGCCTGGATCATGTGTTATTTCCTTGGGGATGTTTGTCATGGTTTAGGGCCACATACTGTTTTCAAATACTCTTACTTTATGGGGAATGGTGGTGCCATACATTCAAGGAAAAGCCAGATGTTCTCTGTCCCTCTTCCTACCAGTTATGGTTCAGTCAAGTGCTGTGGCCATTTACAGAGCTTCTGATGTGTGGTGCTTGATATCAATAGTCCACACTATGGAGTATGCTCCAGAGGCTGCAGTAGTTTGACTTCTCTGGAATAATCCTGAGGTTCGTAACCTCATTCTGGTCCTCCCAGATCTTCTATAAGCTGCCTGAGACCCTTTACAAAGCCATTTTGGGGTCTAAACTTGCTAGAGTGGCAAGCCAAGATTCTGTCCACATATGCCTTCCCTAATCACTGTGACCATGGTTTGCTCATTTTCCCAGCCCTGAAATTAACAGAGTCAGTCTGGGAATACCAGAGCCCCTGACTTGTCTCTTGAGAAATCTGTACCCAGGTCAGGAAGCAACAGTTAGAACTGGACATGGAGCAACAGACTGCTTTCATATTGGGAAAGGAGTATTTCAAGGCTTTATATTGTCACGCTGCTTATTTAATTTATATGCAGAGCATCATGAGAAACCTGGGCTGGATCAAGCACAGGCTGGAATCAAGATTGCCGGGAGAAATACCAATAACCTCAGATATGCAGATGAAACCACCCTTATGGCAGAAAGTGAAGAACTAAAGAGCCTCTTGATGAAAGTGAAAGAGGAGAGTGGGAAAGTTGGCTTAAAACTCATCATTCAGAAAACTAAGATCATGGCATCCGGCCCCATCACTTCATGGCAAATAGATGGGGAAACAGTGGAAACATTGGCTGACTTAATTTTGGGGGGCTCCAAAATCCCTGCAGATGGTGATTGCAGCCATGAAATTAAAAGACGTTTACTCCGTGGAAGGAGTGTGAAGAGCTGATTCATCTGAAAAGACCCCGATGCTGGGAAAGATTGAAGGCAGGAGGAGAAGGAGATGACAGAGAATGAGATGGTTAGAAGGCATCACTGACTCAATGGACATGAGTTTGAGTAAACTCCGGGAGTTGGTGATGGACAGGGAGGCCTGGCGTGCTGCGGTCCATTCGGTCTCAGAGTCGGACACGACTGCACGACTGAACTGAACTGAACAGCCCTGTTTAAAGCAAATAGTGGATAAGGATGGAAAGGACGATGCCCTGAAGAATGAGATTCTGGGGCAAGAAGGGGACAGTCATAGCAGAGCAGGCCAAGGCAGCAGATGTCCACTCATTCTCTTCCTTTCAGGTCATCGTCAACTCTTGTAGTGATGGACTGATACATTCTTTACTCAGGTCTGCTTCTAATAGGTTTTCTTTCATTCAAAACCTGAATTAAATAACACATTTGTGCCGTCAGCACCTTCTCAGGGGATTCTCTTGGTTTAGGCTTGGCTACTTCTCTAAATGGCTTGTTAGAAGCTTCCCACACAGCTTGTGGGCAGATGCTGTGCACTTCATAGCATCGCTTTGCTCTCTCTCTCCAAGAGCTGATGCTGCTTGCAGACAGGAGCATGGTGGAGATTAAGGAAATTTGGTCCCTGTAACTGTGACATAAAGCAACGTGGGAGAGAGACAAGAAACTTACAGTTAACATAGTTAAGCCACTTTCTAGCTTTTTAGGAAGGACACTAACCTCTCTGGAAACTTCATTTCCAAACTGGGTTGCTCAGTTCCAGGATATCTGTAATATGTCACAAAATTTAAGATGAGGAGAAAGGTCACAACAGGAAAAATTATTGATACCGTAGTGCCATCTGATGATTACCAAGATTTGAGAACTTGAAAATTTATTTTTGGATGCCTAATTTTGTTTCACTGCCTTCTGTCTTAGAATGTTGTTTGTGGTATACAATGAACAAGTTTTGTTGGGTTCTTTTATTTCTACTGTGTTTTTATATCTACCAGACACTGTCCCTGGGCAAGAAGATTTCAGTGGTTCTAAATATATGACTTTCTCTAAAATTCAGTGCCTCATGACTTAGTTATTTATTACCCTACAGGGTTGTCATATCAACGTTTCCTGTTATTGAAGCCAAAGGGACTTCCAGATGCAATAACATCTTTTGTGTTGTGGTTTTATCACTTTGCTTTGTTTAATAGAAACCTATGAAACAGAATGCAATGGAGAAACAGTGATCTACATGAAAATGGAGTTCCCTTTTTTATTGGCCGCAAGAGATGTATCCTTTTCGAATGCATACTATTAGTCAGCTAGATCTAAGTGTTTTTGTTCCCCGTGGCCACGACCCAATGGCGGTATATACAGAAGGTGTGGACAACATGATCTTTGACTCTTGCATAAACATCTGCTAAAACTGTTGCTTTTTGTGTAGCTTTCAGAGACCTCAGAGTGTGATTTCCGGGTCAGACTCCATAGAGCATCTATAACTGTGGGAAGCCAGCTCATACTTTCCTGAGAATTTTCCTAGAAAATCCTTGTACCACAGATTTGGGGGCCTGAAAACAACTTTTCCTTAAGGGTATTCAATACACTCCCTCGGTCTGCAGAGGAGGAAGCTGGGACCCAGAGAGTTAAGGTCACACACACACAGGCGGTTACCAGCCGACTCGGGGATGGAGCTCAGGCCCCACATTTCCAGCTCTCTCCACCTCTCCTCCTCCCCCAGCATTGGCTTTGGGCCCTGTGTTTGTGTGATTCCTGCTCAATTTCTTCAAATCTGATTATCTTCCCTGTAACAGGGCCATAGACATAGTGGCTGGTCTGTGAATCTTTATTGAGGTGAAATGATTGTATTACTCTTGGTGAACCAGAACCAGTGAGGACATATGCCTACTAATATTTGGGTATCCACATATCTTCCTATGGTCACCAGATGTAAGTAACCTTGCCTGATGATCCTCTGTGCACAGAGGTCAATGATTAGGGCTTAAGTGGAGGACAGAGAGCAATGACCCCACTGTTTGCTGAGTGAGATTCTGCTCCAGTCTTTCTCCAATGCCCCCACCAAGCCTGTCTACAGGCAGTGTTGCCCTCTTTTCTTGCACAGTGAAGCTGAATCTCAGCAAAATTAAGTTGCCCAGGATCACAGCTGATAAATGACCAATCCTCTGAGATCTCATTGCTTTACTGGAGAAAGGAGGAGTGAGTTCCTCTCATACTTAGAGCTGCAAGGAATCACTGACAGGCGGGTAAGGCATGTCTTGAGCTTTCCAGGTGGCCCAGTGGTGAAGAATCTGCCTGCCAGTACAAGATATGCAGGAGCTTTGGGTTTGATCCCTGGGTCATGAAGATTCCCTGGAGGAGGACATGGCAACCCACTCTGGTATTCTTGCCTGGGAAATCCTATGGACAGAAGAAACTGTCAGGCTATGGTCCATGGGGTCACAAAGAGTCAGACAATAGTTGGGAACTGAATATGTATACAATGCCTGCTATGAAGAGAAAACACCAGTTGGGAGGTCACAGGGTTTTGCAGGGAAGTTAGGCAGACCAAGTAGGAAGTGAACTGACAGTTTAAGGGAGCAAATGCCACGTGGAGGCAACAACATAATTTCCTTTTGCTTCTGACTTGTGGGCTTTCCTTTTATCCATCTGAGAGGCTTCACTCTTGTCTTGCCTTGACCGGCAGTGCAGTGCGTCTATGTGCGGCAGCGGCGAGAACTGGACTTCAGGGGGCAGAAGGTTCAGGTGGTCCTGGCCAAGACCACCTCGGTGCCACAGTTCCCAGAGAGATCAGACTTCATCCGTGTGAGGCAGTGCCAGGTGAAGCTGGCCGTGCAGAGCAACGGCAGTAACCAGAGCAAAGGTAAAAAGACGGCATCTGTTGGTGTGCTGCTGCGCCATGCGAAGTATGAAAAGTCCCTGTGAGGCACATAAAATGCATGATGCATTTTCCCTGGGGTCAGAGACTGGGCATGGGTTCAAAGGAAACAGAGGAGACTCAGTTCACCCCTCACGTGTGGCTACAATGCAAGGTGGATGTTTAAATCTGATCAATCTATTTTTTACTTACTCTTGCATTGTCCAGATGAAATCAAAACATCAAAGTGAACCAAAAGGTTTAGGAATTCACTTCAGGCTGCTCTTGTACTGCATAGTCTGGCTGGAGATGGGCAGGAAGGCTAGTGGGATCATCTCTGATGAGGTACCGCTCACTCAGCAAAAGCTAAGAGACTCAGGACCTGTCTGCCTTGAGTTCCATACTCAGGAGAGAATCTGGGAGGGGTTTATGTGGCCACCTGCTGGACTGGAAGGGGTGTGGCCTTGAGACTGCAGTAAAGTCTGAACAGTAGTTCTGATGTGTGTTAGATCTGCCACCTTGGGTGCATCACCCCACTCTTCTAAGAAGTCTCAGTTTTATCATTTATAAACCAGAGTTTAATTTTATCAAATTTTATAATTAAGATAATTGAGAGAAATAATTAAATGAGACATATATCCAAATATCTAGCACTTATGCTATGCTATGCAATGCTATGCTAAGTCACTTCAGTCATGTCCAGCTCTATGGACAGTAGCCTGCCAGGCTCCTCTATCCATGGGGATTCTCCAGGCAAGAATACTGGAGTGGATTGCCATGCCCTCCTCATCTAGCACTTGCCACGGGTTTAATAAATAGCAGCAAAATGTGCCTTGGCTGTTTGCCAAAGTGTGTGTATAAGTCTCCCCTAAAGGAGATGGGAGAGTCCACTTGAATTGTGTGTCCTCCTTCCTTAATTGCTTGGCCTGCATATAAACCTGGATGTTTGCTGCTGTATTTTTCCTCCTTTTGAACTGCCTTTCCTTTCCCTCTCTAGTGTTCATTTACTGCTTCATAAACCCTGGTGGCTGGATTCCATCCTGGATCATCAACTTGGTTGCCAAGGTGAGGCCCCCAGCGGCAGGAGGGGAAGTGAGCCTGACAGATGTTGACTGAGCCTGAGGGGCTGTCAGACTGAAGAGACATACAGTCTCAGGCCTCACGATGCTCTTTGATGAAGCAGCATGGTTGACTGACTTTGGTGAGGACTGGGGTTGCCAACACCTAGGACCGAGGTTGGGACAAAAGACTAGAATCTTTACCTGGAATATCAGCTCCACACTACTTTCCCACCAAGATCCCTCCAGAATCACTGTCTGGAACCTTTGGACAATAACCTGCTCCTTGTAGGAACAAGGGTGCCTGTGGATGCTGTGTCTGCTTATGGAGGAGTTAGGCCAACATGGCTTGGGAGACAATGAGATATGTTCAAGCCTGGGGAAGCCTCCAGTTTTGTTTTTGTGTTTTCTTTCTATAAGGAGCAGGGACTTCAGTGGTATGCAGATCACTCATGGAGACCATTCAGTCTGCTTTGTGAGGTCCTACTTACAGGCTGGTGGGCTCACCAGTTCCCAGGGAGAGTGAAAAAGTACACAAAATTGAGTAAAACACATCATGCTTTGAATTCTGGTCCTAGTTCTGACTATGTAATCTAGGGAAGCCATCAGTTTCTTCCCTCCAAAAAAAAATGGGGATTGATATTTCCACAATGTGTAGAAGGAGTAACCAAAACAACATTTGGGGAAAGTCTGGGCAATGTTCAATACTAACTAAGGGATGACATATCCCGCCTCTTGCTCCCAATTCTTACCAATTTCTAATTCTGTAAAGCAAGTCCTTTTTTTCATCTATTGGAAGAATCACACAGCCCAGCCCAGTCCCATTTCCTGAGTCATTTATTTCTCTTCAAAAATAGTGTCTTAGAATTATCTTAGATTTCTATTAGCAAATGCTAAAATATGCAAGGTCTGACAACTGTGGCCCCGACCTTACCTGTGCCTTGAGTCTTACCTTTTTCATCATCAGTGACAACATGCTGTTGAAATTTTATCAGGAGCCCTATAGTCTTATTTATCATTCCCCAAGGCATCTTCCTTCACCATTGCCACATCTTGAGAATCAAGAGTAGTTGCTGTGAGGACAGAGTAATGACAATCTCTTTTTCTTTGCAGAATGAAATTCCTGGCTTCCTTGCTAACCTGGAGGATGCCTGCCTGAGGTGCCAGAGGAGAACCTGAGAGATTTGGGAGCTTTTTGTTTATGAATGATGTTCCTGGAAGTGCCACAACTACTGATGCTCAGTATATCTGTCATTTTTCCATCTCAGAAGCCTGCACTCTCCCCAGAACCTTGTGCCCAAGTGTGCCAGCCTGATACCTAGCTTCCTTTCCCATCCTCCCCACTCTGGGACACACCGCCTTGTTTCACTGTAGAATGTGGGTCAGATTCAGAAAACCCTTGCTTGTTTATTTTTTAAAAGAGGAATCCTCAGGAGGGAACCCAGTCTTTCCATTGTTCCATTCTAGGGGGATGGTGGGTGGAGGACTGATAACACTGCCTAAGAGTAACTGACCCGAGCAAGTTGTCTCCTTCCCACGTGTGAGTTTTTGCAACACAAGAGGGTGACTTCCTGCAGGTGCATTACCTTCAGGGTTGACTCACAGTACAGCAAGAGTGGAAGATTCATGTCTATTTCCCTTTGGCTTTGCTGACTTGATTTGCCTGATTTGAAATGATAATCTACTAAGCCTCTCCGCATTTCTATTTGTAGAGGATCATGAGCAGTTTCGATTTCAAATCATTTTGAAAAATGTTGCAGACCTGACTACGTATATAGCGTGGTGACAGTTATCTCAATACTGGTGTCTAAGTTTTTCTCTGCCACTGGAGAAGGCTGTCTGTACCTCATTAGCTCTGAATTTCTGGACACTGAGGCATCAAGACAGCTCTGGCAGTTAACAGAAACCAACCTGTTTTACACACAGCGTTGAAAAAGTTGTCTTTTAGGCAAGAAATGGATTTCTCTTCTAGAATGTTTGGAGATGTCGGAGGGATAATTCTTCTTGTTGTCCAGTTGCTCAGTCATATTTGACTCTTTGCAACCCCATGGACTGCAGCATGCCAGGCTTCCTGTCTTACACATCTCCCAGAGTTTGCTCAAACTCATGTTCATTGAGTTAATGATGCCACCCAACCATCTCATCCTCTGTGTCCCTGTTCTCCTCCTGTGCTCAATATTTCACAGCAGAAGGGTCTTTTCCAGTGAGTTGGCTCTTTGCATCAGGTGACCGAAGTATTGGAGTTTCAGCTTCATCGTCAGTCCTTCCTATGAGTATTCAGGATTGATTTCCATTAGGATTGACTGATTTGATCTCCTTGCAGTCCAAGGGACTCTCAAGAGTCTTCTCCAGTACCACAGTTCAAAAGCATCAATTCTTTGGTGATCAGTCTTCTTTATGGTCCAACTCTCATATCTGTACATGACTACTGGATAGAAATCATAGCTTTGACTGGACAGATATTTGTAGGCAGAGTGATATACTACTGTCAGGGCATCTTGCTGGGTTGAGAGTGGCCTGCAGGTTCAGGGGCAGTGGCAGCAGCAGCCCTGGGGGCACAGCAGGCATACTGGCCTAAGTCCTTTAGGAGGAGGCTGCCATTCCCCCATCACAGAGTCTGTAGCCTACCACGAAGACTGCAAACGCTAGGACGGCTGCCTTAGGCCAGACTACAGGGAGGGGCACAGCCCCCCCACCAGCAGAAAATTGGATGAAAGCTTTACTGAGCATGGCCCTGCACACCAGAACAACTCCCAGTTTTCCCCAGAGCTGGTCCCTCCCATCAGGAAGCTTGCACAAGCCTCTTATCCTCGTCTATCAGAGGGCTTACAGAATGAAAACCACAAATACAGAAAACTAACCAAAATGATCACACGGATCACAGTCTTGTGTAACTCAGTGAAATTGACCCATGCCATGTAGGGCCACCCGAGAAGGACAGGTCATGGTGGAGAGTTCTGACATGATGGAGAGGTCTTTCTGCATTGGAGAAAGGAATGGCAAACGACTTCATCATTCTTGCCTTGAAAAGGGATAATAGTTCTCTTATTACTGGATTAGTACGGTGGTTGACTCTACAGTTTTCTCTCAGGAATTCTACCTAAGTTATCCACTTCTCCCACCACCAGGAGACTTCCCATTTTCTACTTTTCTCTTGAAATTTGGAAGGAAAGATATTCTGTGTACAAAGGGACAGCCTTAAAATCTCAGGTAACATTTTAATTACTGTGTGTGATGGCACCAAACCTTGATTAATAGGCATAAAATTTCAGCATTTAATTCCCAGAGGCAGCAAATTTATTAATGGGACACCTCAGATTTTGTCTTTTCTCTTTAGAAGGGGAAGTGCATTGAATACCAAATAAATAGGGACTTATACTTGTCCTGTCTTCAGTCTCCTTCCTGCTTTGTTCCTTTTGCATAAAGGCATCTGTTAGGTCTCTTCGGTTTGTAAGTCACATCCTAACTAACTCACGTACTTGACTATCAAAGATATTTTAGACTCACTTACATGTAAGACCAAATGTAGAGTGGTCGCAGGTAGGGGTTTATGGGTGCTCAAACTGGCATTTGGAATCAACTCTGTTCTTCTTTAAGCTTTCTTTAATGTTAGGCTGTTTTTGCTGGCAGGATCATTTCTGTTAGCAAAGGGTTGGCCTGCATCTTCCCAGGTTCATAGCAAGTCAATAAAAGACAGCGTTTCTTTCCAGTAGATCCAGAACCATCCTATGCTTCCCTCTAAAACATATGCCAATCCCTGCTGCAGTCACTGTGGTCACATGGACAGAACTTGCAAATTAACAATTACTTCATAAATATGTCATTAAAATATCACTATCAGTAAGGTGGCTGGAATTTAATTTTAGGTAGAGTAAATGTGAATGTCTCATGTAATTGAGGTCAAGTTATCAGTCATTTGTCACTGAAGGACAAGTACTAAAATTCTAGCCTTTGAATAGAGAGTTGACATGAAATGCTGTCAGGCAAACTGTATATTTAAACAGTATTTTATGATCTGCTAAAAACACTGAGATTACTAAGAATACTAACATTCTAGGTAGGAGATTTTTTATTTTTTAGGAGATTTTTCAAAAGTCACTAAGCTTGCTCTGATTAGTAGAATTAAGCCCCTTTTGGCATTCAAGATTTCTGAATTAGGGAAGGCAGTCCTACATAGCACTGAAACTTGAGGTTACATGGGAAACGGAGAACCCCTGAGCAAACAGTAAACTTCTTGTTGCTCAGTCACTAAGACATGTTCAACTCTTTTGACCCCATGGACTGAAGCATGCCAAGCTCTCCTGTGCTTCACTATCTCCTGAAGTTTGCCCAAACTCACATCCATTCAGTTAGTGATTGTATCCAAATATCACATCCTCTGTGGCCTGCTTCTTCTCCTGCTCTCAATCTTTCCCAGCATCAGGGTCTTTTTCAATGAGTCAGCTCTTTGCATGAGGTGGCCAAAGTATTGGAGGTTCAGCATCAGTCCTTCAAAGGGTATTCAGCATTGATTTCCTTTAGGATTGATTAGTTTCATCTCACTGCAGTCCAGGGGACTCTCAAGAGTCTTCTCTGGCACCACAATCTGAAAACATCAATTCTTCAGTGCTCAGCCTTTCTTATGGTCCAACTCTCACATCTGTGTATTACTACCAGAAAAGCCATAACTTTGACTATATGAATTTTTGCCAGCAAATAATGTCTCTGCTTTTTCATACTCTGTCTAGGTTTGCCACTGCTTTCCTTCCAAGGACCAAGTATCTTCTAATTTCATGTCTGCAGTCACCATCCACAGTGGTTTTGGAGCCCAAGAAGATAAAATCTGTCACTGTTTCCACTTTTCCCCCTTCTATTTGCCATGAGGTGATGGGACTGGATGACATGATCTTTGTTTTTTGAATGTTGAATTTGAAGCCAGCTTTTTCACTCTGCTTTCACTTTCATCCAGAGATTCCTTAGTTCTTCTTCACATTCTTCCATTAAAGTAGTATCATCTGCATATCTGAGGTTGTTGATATTTCTCCTGGCAATCTTGATTCCATCTTGTGCTTCAACCATCCTAGCATTTCACATGATGTACTCTGCATAGAAGTTAAATAAGTGGGGTGACAATATACAGCCTTGGCATACTCCTTTCCTAATTTCGAGCCAGTCCATCTGTTCCATGTCTAGTTTTAGCTGTTGCTCTTTTACCTGCATAAAGGTTTCTCAATAGGCAGGTAAGGTGGTCTGGTATTCCCATCTCTTTCAAACTTTTCCAGTTTGTTGTGATCCACACAGTCAAAGGTTATAGTATATGAAGCATAAGTAGATTTTTTTTTTCCTGGAATTCCCTTGTTTTCTCTATGATCCAATGAATGTGTCCAGCTTGTATATCTGGACATTCTTGGTTCATGTATGCTGAAGCCTAGCTTCAAGGACTTTGAGCATTACCTTGCTAGCATGTGAAATGAATGCAATTGTGCTGTAGTTTAAACATTTTTTGGCATTGCCCTTCTTTGGGGCTGAAATTAAAGCTGCCCTTTTCTGATCCTGTGGCCACTGCTGAGTTTTGCAAATTTGCTGCCATTGGGAGCAGCACTTTATTAGCATCATCATTTAGGATTTGAAATAACTCAGGTGGAATTCCATCACCTCCACTAACTTTGTTTGTAGTAATCTTTTCTAAGGCCCACTTGACTTCACACTCCTGGATGTCTGGCTCTAGGTGAGTAACCACACCATCGTGGGGGTCAGGGTCGTTAAGACCTTCTTGTACAGTTCTTCTGTGTAGTCTTGCCACCTCTTCTTAATCTCTTCTGCTTCTGTTAGGTCCTTACTGATACCTTTCACCCTGTAGAACTCATCTTCCAGTGTCAAATCTTTTTGCTTTTTCATGCCATTCATAGTGTTCTTCAGGCAAAAATACTGGAGTATTTCCCTTTCCTCCCTCCAATGGACCCCATTTTGTCAGAACTCTCCACTATGTCAGAACTCCCCACCTGTCTTGGGTGGCTCTGCATGGCATGGCCTAACTCAGAGCCTCATTGAGTTATGCAAGTCCCTTATGCAAGACAAGGTTTTTTGATCCATGAATGGGGCATATAGCAAATGTCAGGGGCCTGAAAACATAGAACTAGTGTTTTGGAGGTTGACCTGTATTCCTCAGGGTCTGCCTCTCCCTTAGGGGCTGAAAGTGTCATTTGGAGCTCCTTTCTATTGCTAGGATGGATGCAGCCAATTCTAATTGATTTTTGTTCAAACAAACTCTTAAAAATCTTAATACTTTTCAGTTTATCTTTTAACAGCTCTGGTGTCAGAAGAATGAGCTGAACCAAAAGGACCTCAGCAGCACAATCAAGGATACTTGGATGTCTGCTGAGTTTTTGAGCTCACTGTTCTGCCACTGCTTCTGGAAGTGGTGAGCAAGCCCTTCTCAAATTCT